ATATATCCTTAGTTATTGATCACACACACATATTTGACCACATTATGATCAAATAATTACCAACTTGCCATTAATGATTGACATAGTTTGACTTCATCATAACCATTGATATGTTATATCTAATGATCCATAATAATTCTTATTTCTTTCACTATCTATCATTCTCATATGATCCCTTCTCTCTCTATATATATATATATATATATATATATATATATATTAAAAGAAACTAGGGGTGTATTTGTTTAGAATTTCGAGTGACATTTAGAGGTTTATAAAGATTTTAGACTTTTCAAGATTTTCTGATTTAGGAGAAATCTTGCGAAATCTTAAGTATGGTGAGATTTGAAATGATATTTTCATATATGGTTTCTTCTTTTGAAATTTCAAAAAATCTTAAAAAGTTCTTAACAAATCATAGTTTCAAAAGAGCTAAGTACCTCAGAATTTTGTAAGGCTCAGTTTGTTTTGAGGGATTTGAAATCCCATGATTTCAAATTTTTTTGAAATATATAATTATTTTTTTACTTGCACACTCCTTGAATGGATGTGTTGAAAATATTATAAACTAATTGTCTAGCTTGCACCTTGAGTGTTGACTCGCAGAGTTGATAAACCTAAATGATCGCGGACGGCATGGTCGTCAACGGTGATAAACAATAGATTTCAAATAAATGAGTCATTTAAAATCCTTAAAAATAATGAATAAAAAACATCTGGCATGAATTTTAAATCCTCCAACTTCCATTACCATCCCAACATGTATGAGTATTTGAACTTGTAAATTTGAAATCTATGGATTTCAAATCTCTCGGTAAATCCTTCGATCCAAACTTAAGACTTTTTGAAATCTCCCATAAATACCTCAAGACTTAAGTTAAATACATCAGAATTTTTAAAGCATTAAAAAGTCTTTAGAAATACCAAACGCGAATACACATTTTTCCTATTTCTTGTCATGCCGTGTTGTGTAATCCCGTTTCGTGTCATTTGTCTCGATAATTGTATTTTCTAGCTATGTTCGTGTTTCAAGTCGTGTCAGTCATTGTCACCCCTAACTTTAGAACAACAATGGTTATGAATTAAATTGGGATACTTGTTACATATAAACTAGCTACTCACACTTCATCAAATTACCCAAATTCAAACTTTTTTTTTTCTACAAGTTGTTAGATTAGTTGTGGCAATTAATGTCTTTGCTGTAATATTGGGAACAGATTGTAGAGATTATTTGAGAAGGAGCCTGTTTGTGGTGGGCGAGGTTGGAGGTAATGACTACAACTACCTCTTTTTTGTTGGAGCTAACATTACTCAGCTTAAGGCAATGGTACCACTTGTTGTCCAAACTATTGCAACCACCACCAGTGTAAGCTTAATTTTCACTTCACATTATTTTGCATTTATTATCGTAACTGAAAGAAACTGGGGGATAACGGGTGCGGGCCCACTAACATGAAGCGGGCAATAAGCAGAGAAAGCTCATATGAAGCCCAAGTAGGGTTCCATCCCAAAATTAATTCGTTGAAGGAGGAGTAGTCCATTAGACTTATAACATGAGTCTATTTTCTATGCATGAACGATGTGGGACAACTCACAGTTGTTAAATATTCTTATAATAATTAATCATTTTTGGTAATATTAATGTTTTCTTGGTTGGGCTCTAGTCAATTATGGAAAACTATGATTATCATGCATGGATTATTTCTCTATTATTATTATTATTATTATTATTATTATTATTATTATTATTATTATTATTATTGGTTGTATTATATCAGATGCTCATAGAGGAAGGAGCAGTAGAATTGATGGTGCCAGGCAATCTGCCACTTGGGTGCAGTGCAGTTTATCTAACATTTTTTGGGACAAGTGATAAATCAGCTTATGATCAAAATGGTTGTCTTAAGGCATACAATTCTTTCTCAAAGTACCATAATTCTCAGCTCAAACTTGCACTGGAGGGTTTGAGACATAAATACCCTCATGCAAGAATCAGTTATGCCGACTACTATGCCGCTTCTAAGAGATTCGTCCGCGCTCCCCAACATTATGGTAAACTCTTAAACGTTCGATGTGAAGCATTAAGTTAAATTCGAACTTTCACAAAACGCATGATATTTCAATGTTAGAATATAATCGGTTCATCTTGACTGATGAATTACATTAGTACATTTTGAATGTATTGAGCGGACATGTGCGGAGAATAGGTTTTTAGGTATCACTTCATCTCGTAACAACCCACTACTATGCATCCACGTCATTTATTTCAAATTAATAAGTTTACATAACTTTTTTATGTTAAAATTGTATTTTTCCTATTTTATTTTCATTAATTATACCTCTTGCAGGATTTTCAAGTGAGACAATATTAAGGGCCTGTTGTGGTGGAGGCGGGCCATACAATTTCAACAACTCAGCTAGATGTGGGCATGTTGGGTCTAAGGCCTGCTCAGATCCAAAAACTTTTGCCAATTGGGACGGTATCCATTTAACGGAGGCCGCCTACCGATACATGGCAATGGGCTTGCTTAATGGGCCCTATATTTATCCACCACTCACTTTCGCCCCTATTAATTCCTTATAAGCTGAGGTTATTATTGGAGCCCAATGGCCCAAAACGAAGAGACTTGTGACTTGAAGATTATTTGGGGAAAAAAAAAAAATGTATGGCCTCCTATTTTTTGAACTTCTGTATTTGGATCAAGTGTTCCTTTATTTCTGTACAACAAATTGAATATAAATTATATATTCATTTTTTATTTCGCCAGCTAAAATTAATTTTTTCACTAGACATGTGCTTAAATATAACCTTTCCTAAATATATTACCTTTCATTTAACCAATTTTTTAAATCTTACCAACAAAACTAAAAAGAAAATATAAATAGATCATTGCTGCACATTCTTCTAATAAAATTTACTTTTTATTCAATCTCATATTTCAAATTAACAATCAAGGAGATTCTACGATCCCGTTACAGAACTATTCCGTCGAGGTTTGTAACCGTTAGATCAACTATACTTGACGGTTACAAGATGATTTAACGGTTACAAACCCCAACGGAATGACTCCGTAATGAAATTGTAGCATTTCCCCCGATTCATAAACTTAAAAATAAATGTAGACTATTTAACTCACTTCTTTCCATCAGCATATAATCTTTTTTTTTTTTCAAAATAATCTATATCCAATCCATATTTGCTCTAAACAACATATGATTCAGCTTCTTGCCTTGCCATTGTCCATCAACTGCAACAACTTCATCAAACTATCTTACAGAAAACAATCACAAACACAAACTACAAATTTTCTCGGAGAACGAAAATACGACCAGACACAGTTTCTTCGTCAAACTAAAACGTAACATGGCTTTCGCATCGATCAAACATTATCTTACAGTTAAAAAACAAACAATCAATCCCCACATTATTTTCTGCACTCCAAACCAATCCCAAACAAATTCTACAATCACTCTACAGAGAAGAACATATTAGAACAAAGAAAACTATAGACAACTTTTTTCAATCCATCAAAGTTCATCTAATTAACTAGAGATACGCATATAGCAGCTGATTCCACGTGTCGGGCAATCCAGGCAAGCACCAATGGCTACAGTCAACTCCCTTTCCTTTTCCACTATAGCGCGAAGGGTGAGCGTCTTTTCTCAGCTGAGATAGAGTTGTTATATCGAGCAATGTCACGGGTTTTTTTATTCTGCTTAGTACTTTATAAACGACCTGAACTTCTTCAGGCGACCCGGCTGGATAAGTCGACCCGGATAATGGGATTTGTTCATTCGAGCAGTCCTTAGATCTTGATGACCACTCTCTAGCCCTGTCCTCAAATCCATTAATATTAATTTTCCTCATTTTTCATTTTTTTTTTCTTGAAAATCAAATGAAAGGATTGATAGGGAATTTTCTTACTGATAGTGAGTAGGAGAAATCCCTTGGAAGAAGACTTTGGTTTTAGTTGGATCGATGTTACTGTCGACCCATCGAGCCCAAGTGGTCAAGCCTTTGTAAAAAGCCACGAGACGGTTCATGTCGCTATATAGGTTGGCTCCATCCCGTATATGATTCCATCTGCAAAATATAAAGATTATATCCAAATGGGAGTAAGTAAGGAGCTTGGAGATTCGTTTTTAAGAAAAAACAACTAACGAGAACAGGAGAGGGAAGAATAAATTAAAAATTAAATAAAAAGTCGTACGATCGGGCATTTCCCGTGTGAGTCCACCAATGCCACGAGTTGAATACGAGCATGTCCATTCCTCTCCAGTTATCACCTTGTTTAATCGAGCCCAAGTTCAAAACGGGACCCACCGGCTCTCTCGTTATGTCTACCAAGTAAGGCGATCGGTAGTAAAATATGGTAACTCCATAACTCTGAGGCGAACATTAAGCGAGAGTTACGATATAAAATGTAACAAAGAAAATGATCACTGCCCACCAAAAAAAAAGGAAAAAAATGAAGTCTTTCTACAACAATTTATATATATGCATGGACTACAATAACTCTCAAAGGAGCCGACAATGAGAGATTTATACAGAGACCACCACCTAATTTAATGATTTTGTTTCTGTGTTAGATGGTTGTTTTTACTTGGGCTGGCCCACTCAGGAGTAAATCCAACTATTACTGACCCCAGTGGGAGGTTAGGACTTGTCTGGCCCATTTGCCAGCCCCTTTGCAGAGTCTTTCATTTAATTTCTTGGGGAAAAATGGTGTGTTCTGTTCAGGCTCTTTACAGGTTCTCCAGCAAGTTAGGTTAGAGTTAAAAGCAAAATATACACCAAAAAGAAAAGAAAAGAGGGGGTGAAATTCTGTTGTCAGAAAAGGCTAAAAGGCAGCTCCAAAGGAACAAAAGGTTGGACCTTTTTTTTTTTGCTCAAATCTCATTTATGGAAAATGCCACAATCCCGTTACGGAACATTCCGTCGAGACAAGTCCTTTTCTGACAAATCCCGACGGAATGGATAGTTGACAAACCCCTGACATTCCGTCGAGACAAGTCCTTTTAGAGCATCATGTAATCGTCATGGATAGTTGATCTAACGGTTAAAAACCCCAACGGAATGGTTCCGTAACGGGACAGTAGAATCTCTCTCTCATTTATATCAATGATTGATAACAAAACAACCCTTTTATTCACACCTTATTGGGTAAATGGCAACTGAAACTTTCTTCTGCCTCCAAAACCAATAAGGGACTTCATCTTATTTCAATGGCTGGAAAATTGAACATCAATCTGTGTTACTGTTAAGTAATGATGATTTTGCTTCATCATTTACAGTTACAGCACAAGATTGAAGTTTTTTTTCTTGAAGCAGTCAATTACACACACTTAAATGTTGTCCTGCTCATTAGAATTGCTGTAATCAAAGTAACTTTATTAAAGAAAGACACTAATCATGAGAAAAAAACTTGTTGGCAGACAGTGTAAAAACTAAAAAAAAAAAATCAGATTTTTGACATTAGGGAAATGCTACGGTCCCCATTACGGAACCATTCCGTCGAGGTTTGGAACCGTTAGATCAACTATCCCAGACGGTTACATGATGATCTAACGGTGACAAACCCCGACAGAATGGTTCAAGTTAACTCTCAAAGTTGAGGTAATATCAAAATTCAAAACTAATAAAAACCCACTTTCCACTACTCAAATTACATCAAGACCACATCCGACAAGTCTTATATACAGTCTAAAAATCCAATCTCTGCAATTGGCAATTTCCCAGCAGAAACACACAGTTCACATGCTAACATTCAAGAAACAAAACAAAGGAAAACAGAGGTTGCCAGCATAAACACAAATATTATACATAAACAGAAGAATAAATATGAAGATTTTTTTTTTTTTTTAATTTATATAAATTTGAAGAAGCATGGCTGACCTGGAATGTGACTGAAGAAAGTGACTCCTGTCTGACATAGCTGTATTTAGAATTAGGTACAGCAGCATGAATCATACAGACCAGACTCTCCCACTGATTCAGACTCAGTGAGTCACCCACAAACATTATCTTCTTCCCCTTCCACCTCTCCAGAAAATTCAACCCATTAAACCTGATTCGAAAACAAAATTAACATTTTTTTCCCCCCAAAAAAACAAGTCTTTTTTCTTGTATTTTGGTTTTAGGACATTTGTGGTACCTGGGCAGGTTGCAAGAATCTGGCTTCCAGGCATAGTTCTGAAAGGTTTTGTCGGGTCGACCCGACTTGATGCAGTTGAACTCGGGGTCGATAAACGGGCAGCCCGAGTTGTAGAGGGTGTTTGAAGGGTCGAGGAGCCATTTGCCCTGGTACAAATTGCAAGTCCCGGCGGAGAGAAGCTTGCTGCCGTTGATGGGAATGCCGCGCGCCGGCTGCTCGGAGCCGGCGCGTGCGGAGAGTACGACCGTCGCTAGAAAAAGGGCCGCCGGAAAAATCCAGTCTTGGGGCTTATTAGAGCTCCCCATTTGGTGTGTGTGCCCTCCGTTCTTTTTTTTTTTTTNTTTTTTTTGGAGCTCGAAAAAGAGAGATGAAGAGAATGAAGAAAAAAAGCTGGGTTCAAAATTCTTGTTCTGGTTGTTGAATTTATAAATTCTATGCACACTTTTTTGTTTTTTGTTTTTTCATTTTCCTTTGTTTTTTTTGTCAGAGTCCGTCCGGTGGCGGCAATACAGGGGCGTGGAGTGGTGCAATTTATAGACCGGAATTTTTTTTATTATTAGTTTATTTCTCAACAGGTGAAATGTTATCAATAATTAAAAATACAATAAAATGTGAATTGAGTGGGGGAGGTCACATGGTTGGGTGATTTGCTTTGTGGCGGTTATTGCTGTTAAATTAAACGAGTCTGGCTCGGCTCGGCTCATTTAAGCTCGAGTTTGAGTCTTTAACGAACTCGAGCTCGAGCTCAATTAAAGCTCGTTTGGCTAACGAGTCGAGTTCGGCTCGACTCGACTCAATAAGACTCGAAAATTGAATTTTTATATAATTTTTTATTGTTTGGCTCGTTAAAACTCAGGATCGGCTCGTTAAGGCTTGAGCTCGAGACTTTAACGAGCCGAGCACGAGCTTGAGCACCCTAAGCTCGAGTTTGGCTCGGCTCGTTTACAACTTTAGGGGCGGTGTAAAAATTAAACTCTTATGTCTCATTTTATCCCCAAAATCAGTCTCAAATCATAATCCACTTGTTATATTTAACATATCTCTATATTTCATTAATTTCCCAAGTATTTCTAACTAATCCATTAGACAAATCCACTAATCCAGTAGTTATTTCAATAAATTGACATATATTTTTCTTAAAATTATTTTTTATAATTTATAGTTTTAGATATTATTATAATATAAAATTATAAATACATTCTTGAAAATTATGACAATGAATCGACCCACGTGACAAATAAACGTATGATACTAAATATTTTGTATAATCCCCTATCTATTAATTCACAACGCGCTGAGCTTACGTGGCTGTTTCTGGTGCTTCGAAATCTTATGTGGCAAAATTATATGTTTCGTTATTAGGCTTGAGTAAATTTTAATTTAATTCCAAACAAAAAATAATTAGGTTCGGATTACCATAAATATATTGATTATTTATGGTCATGTTACATGTATTAATTGCATTTTAATAGCATTCCTTACTATAACTATTGAATTGTATATATATTTTAAAAGTTAATAACTTTTGTATTTTTTATCAGTTTTACATATGTAATATATCAAATTAATCTTCTTTTGATGAGTTTCGATTTAACATCCATATTGTATGTATAAAAAATAATAATTTATATTTATCTTTATAACAATAATAAATTAATTTTAATATTAATTATAAAAATAAAATTATTTATCAACTAATATATTTATATTTTAAATAGTTATATGATATAAGTTATAAAAACTAATATAATATAACACATGTAAGTCATAAGTAACACATATCATTCTAAAATATAGAGTAATATATTTTTTTGTAAAAAAGTAAACTAGATTTTTATAGTTTAAATTTCTCATTAATTTTAAAATTTAAGAATAATTTTTTATCAAGCACCCGTGTAATACACGGGTATTGTACTAGTTAAATTATATAGATAATTTATTATGGTGTGATGTTAGTGGGAAATGTTGAGAGTAGAGGACAGAAAAGTGTGTGAGTCTGTGTTTGTCTTTGCATGGGTTAGGTTTAAGGAAGTCAAAAATATCAATAATAATATAAGAAAATTTTATTAGATATATTTAATTTTTTTATTTTTTTATTATTATTTGTTCATTTGTATTTGATTGGCGCACATGACCCAGCAAATCGATTGGAATTATTCAGGAATTTTCCCACATGTTTCAGTTGAATTGTGCCTGTGTTGCATATTGGTTTGTTGAGTACAGCCCAACTGTTCTATTATATAAATAAAATAAATAAAATTACTCGTTAATCATTGATTAGTTATAGTTAAATCATGAATGATATATTTTTAAAAAATAATATTCCTAAAGATGAATTAAAATTTGAACTGTATTAAATTTCGATTCCATGGGATTCGGGAACTGATGGGTAGAGCCTAGGAGATTGAGCTTATCCATGGACATCGAGAGACTAATTTTGTGACAGATTTTCTAGCCTCGCTGGCGGCTAAAGGAGCAGGGGGTTTGCACCGGTTTGATCGTCCTTCGGAGGGGGCGGGTGTATGGTTAACTCATGATGCTACGAGGGTGGCACACCCTCATCGGGTCGTGGTCAAGCGATAGTCGTTTCGCTTCCTTTCCTGTACCAA